ATTGACCCTCAGCACAAGCTTCATAAACTGCTCTTGCATGTCCCTCGGATTGGGGCCTAAGCTTTTGTCATGAAGGTCCTTGACGCACCTAGCAATACGGGACAATTGAAGCTTGAACTCTTCCTGTTTCTGTGAGTTCTCATTGAGGGCTCCGGACATCCTATCACTGAACTGCTTCAGGTCGGTCGCAGGAACGAGCTGCTGGATATACGTCTCGACGTTCCCACGGATGGTTCTTTCCCTTGAGATGGTTCCCTCAATGTCGATGACACTGCGAGAGTTCGCCTCAACTTCGTCCTTGATTTTCCGAACCTCAGCCTCAAGGGCCCCGATCTCAGAGAACCTAAGGAGCTGGACCTTGACGTTCTCAAGTGATTCGGCCTGCTCGCGAAGTTCAGCAGCGGATATGACGATCGAGTCAGACCTCTCATCATACATCTTGAAACGCTCATTCATCTCCTTCTCGCTTCGGGCGACCCACTCGTGGAAATCACGGAACTTGGCCTCGTGTTTTGAGAGAGTTCCGGCAACGGCAGAGAAAGATGATTCAACCTTCTTCTCGAAGGCGTCAACACGGTTATTGATCTTCTTGATCTCACCGACGCAAGCGTTGATATCATCCCTACATGAACGAATCTCAGTTCTGCATCCCTGGATTTCGGCCTTGCACCCCTTGACCTCGTTGTGGATCGCGAGAAGCAGTCGTTGAAGCTCAGATGCAACAGGATGGCCGCCACTTGTGGAAGCAGACGGAGCAGGACGACTATCAGCGTCATGATCTCCGCGCCTATTTTCTTCCCTGTCGGGAGTGCAGCCCGGAGTTCCGATTTGAAAGAATGCGGGGACGAGGGAGTTGTTGACCGGTTGATTTGAAGGAAGCCCTCCATGTCCAGGGGCAACAGTGCTAAGTCCAGGTCTCCGGTTCCTGGGCGTAGAGTTAATCCCGTCATCAGTCTCCTTCTCAGACATCGGGGCATTGGAGCTGAGCCCAGACCCCGCAGAGTGGATAGGAACGTCAATAGGATCGTGATGAGCTGGGGGATTAGATCGCAATCGCAGAGCAGCTTCACGTCTCTCGGGTGACTCAGAGCTCCTCTTTGTGGCTCGTGAGTCAGTGCCGGTTTGTCCCGACACATTATCAAATGATGATGATGATCCACGAAGTTGAGCTTGATCTGGATCAGGTTGAGTGAGATCAAGCCGTTGAGCAACGTCATCATTGAGTGGCTTAGGAGAAAGTACTTTGGCAACGCGGCTCGGCGGGAGCGATGTCGTTCGTCTCTCTGGTGTGACCTCGGCCTCATCGATTACATCAAGGATCCCAGGGATGGTTTCATCATCTTCATTTCCTCTCCTGGGTGGCTGATGGAAGGGGATGTCGAGGAGGTCGAAGGGAGTAGAGCCAATACCAGGTGTATCCTGCTCGGATCCATCGCTGGTACGGTGGCTGGACTGCTCCTCGAGGTCGATGACGTCGGGGGCGGACTCTTTTCGAGTCTGACGCCGATTGAACGCCGCGAAGAGACCGGCATGGCTTCTTGACGAAGTGGAGGAAGGATTTGGGCCTGCTGTTTCGCGGCCCGCGTCCGATCGATTAGTACCTGATGCCCGATTTGGCGGATTTGAGCCCGCGTTGTAGCGGTTCGCATCCCGACCTCGGGTACCTGAGGAAAGCGGTGGATTCGGACCAGCGTTGTAGCGGTCCGCATTCCGGTCGCGGGTACCTGACAGGTGAGATGATACTGCATCAGGGATGAAGTCCATATCCGCCGGACTGGGGTGATCGTGAATGATGTCAATGTCGGATGAACCTGAGACGGGAGGAAGGCCAGCTATTTGCGGCCAATCCTCAATCGCCCGTTTGCCAACCTCGGGTTGGGCCGAACCTGCAACATGAGAAGGGGAGAAGTCTTCAATGGGGTCATTTTCTCCATCATGAGGAAAACCCTGAGTAGGCTCTGAGTAGGCTCATGCGTAGGCAGGGCATCAAAAGATCTGTCAATTCGGGAAGGCTGAGACCTCCAATCAGCATCAAAAAGGGATTGAAAATCCAGATTCCCAACCGATATGGGGGCACCCGAGTTAAAGTCGAGCCGACCGAAATCAGGCGGTGTAGCCTGCGATCCACTGCCGAGGAGCTGGTCAAACTGATCCCATGTAAGGGACCATGATTGAGCCGGCTCCGGATGAGCAGCACGATGGACAGCCCGGTCCTCGATCTGGAGCGCCACGAACGGAACAGTAGGCGAAATCGATGAGGGCACCTGATTTGGAGGAACCTCAGCCTCTTCTAGAGGGGGTCCGTCCTCGATCTGGAGCACTGCCGCCGGGATAGGGGCCTCCGCATCCTCATCAAACACAACCTGAGAAAGGATCCAATCGTCCGTGATCACCCCGGGATTGGGCTCTGCGCCCACCATCGGGGGAATGGGCCACAGCCGGCTGTCTAAGCCGGGGGCAGCAGGCGCGGCGTTGCCGCGAAGGGCGTTGGCCTCGTCGTCCACGAAGCCCGGCCCACGATGAGAAGCTCCGGGGGACGCCATTGCTCGTACAAGTAGGCGATGGGAGCAGGTAGCGGGTCACGTCCCGCAACCGGATCACCAGCCCCAGCTTCTAGCTGGTACGGCTGATAACCTGCGGTTTTGGGCGAACACGAAGTAGCCCAGGGAAGCAAATGAGTACAAAGAAGATCACAATGTACCCAAAGCACCCGGAATCACAACTCGGGTGAAGCTGTGGATGATGACCGGGTTGAGGAAGTGACGGTTGGTAAAGAGAAGTTTGGGGAAGTTGGGAATCAAGTTGAAGAAGTATAAGTACTCAACCAAGCCCAGCAAACCCTGCCGCACCACCGGATACCTCCCACAACCAGCTGCCCCCAGCACCGAGACCTTTTCCCGGTGATGTGGGCGGCTGCCGTTGTATGGCGTCCGCACGTGGTGCCAGAGCTAAACTGACGGGGGGTTGAAAACTTGAGCCAAACGGCCATTCGGCCGTTTTGCCACATGAAGAAACAACACGTGAACAAAACACACAAACAAAACAAACGAAACCGAGAGGAGAAACAGCAGTCAATTTACATCCTATTGGATTGAACTCAGACAGTATTCTGCGAAATCTGCAACAATTCCACAAGCTGAAACGATACTGGATCGCCCAGGCACAATCATGGTGAGCTCCTAAGTGAGTGGAATGTTGAGGATGGCTCTATGTGAAACGAACCAAGAACGCCTTTGTGTTGGTCGAACCTTGCCTCTATGAGGACCAAAAACACGCATGCAAAGGGAGCTTGCTGCTCTTTTTGGTTCGTCCCCCCCCCACATCCTGAAAAGAGAACCTTCCATGACTATCTCGTTGACCTCTGCGGGCCGTTTTGGTTCTCGGTCTTTGGGTTCTCGGGAACCGGATTCCCAACTCAGTTAGCTCCATGGTCATAACCCGCTGGGAACCCCAGAACGGAACAAGTTCTACTTGGATGGACCAACAATCATCCAGAAGGAGGTACCCTATCTTGAGACCCCCAAATGCATCCGGGAAACAAACACATCCGAAGGCAATGCCCTCTCCAAATGCTCCAAGCGTCGTGGTTCAAAGTCTAAGTTGAAGCAAGTTATACCGGCTGTGCGGATACTCATGGGGTCCAACAACCGGATGTCTGAAAAGGGCCCAATCGACCAACCACTGGGCCCAAAGCAAGACTTGACGATCACATCAAACAACCTTTGTTGGCTTTTACGGTCGGGTGGCGGTTTCTGTGATTTTTTGGTTTTGTTGTTATTTGGTTCTTTTCTTTCTTCTGATAGCTTCTGTCTCACGTTCTGAGTGGACTGGCCAAACAAAGCAACCACACGTTTTGTTTGCCACTAAAATGCTTCAAACCGAACAAGTGACTGAAGTCCAACTCAGCAAGTGAGTTCAAAAGGGCGTTGCCCTTTGAACTGACTAGTTTGTTAAAGCGACCCCTTCTTGAGGAACCAAAACAACACGTCAACATCGTCTCGAGAAGCAGCCCCAGCATAGTCTGCTTCGAGCACCAAGGTGTGGATTGGAAGTAAAGCTTTTGTCTGGGGACACCCCTTCGGGAACGAGAAGCAACCCCAGACTGGTCTGCTTGAAGCTCCAAGGTGTGTGTTCCTTTTTGTCTGACACCACCCGATCCAAAATCCAGGAATTGATCTCGATTGCTTTCTGCTCCCCTGCTAAAAGTTTAACTTTTAGTGGTTTAGTGGAAAACCCCTGAGTGGGCTAAAAGTCAAAGTCCTAACAGCCCTTGGCAAAATGCACCAAAGTTATTATTTCGGCGTGCAGGTTATTCCCATGGGTTGTTGGAGCTAACTCATTCGGTGTGGGGTTCCCATGGGTGGTCCGTTTTCGGATCCCCTGCTAAAAGTTGAACTTGTGGGTGAAAAGGAACCCCCCCACTGAACCGACTACAAAGATCTACACAGCTAGGGAACCGGAACATCAAGCTTTGTATTGTCTTTCTTCGGATTGATTGGTAGTTCTAGCTGTATCTTCCCCACTATCTAGTCTTCTTTGTAAGGTCTTGCAGGGGCCCTTCTCTTCAAAGGCAAACGCCCTGGAAAGGGCGATTGAAGAGAAGGACGGGGGAGATAATGTCAGAATGGGGAATACGTAGTTTCCTTCTTCTTTAAAATGTTCATTCTAAAGAAACAAAAAGATGTCGTCTTGCTTTTGTACAGTTTTTCTTGCAAGAAACAAAGAGGCTGTGTTGCTTCTGATATCTTCTGATTTATTGCGGGAATGTTGTCTTTCTTCTTTAAAGTGTCTCTTCTAAAAAACAAAACCAGGTTGTGTTGCTTCTGATTGATTGTGTGCTTCATCTAGGTCCTCCAGTAGAGAGGTTATAATATGGGCGCCCTCTTTTCTGTAGTCTATTTTGGTAGGGGAACCCTCTCCGACAAAAAGAAACGCTGAGAAAGGGCACTGTGGGACCTAGACCAAGGCCGACCAAGGCCGACCAAGGCCGATCTCCCCGCCTGGGTCTCGCCTGGTGCCAAGGGCGACCAGTGGCTGCGAAAGTCCTCAAAGCTCAGCTCCTGACGAAAAAACGACAGCGGGTCCCAGCGGCGCGATTTCTGCGGCCCTGCCATAAAAAGGGGGAGGGTTCCCAGGTCTGAAAGAGGGGGGGGTCCCATGCCTTTTTATTCAGGGGACCCACAAATTGTGTGCTTGTCAGTGTGTCCTGTTGGTTTCCCTTTAAACACCCCTCAAAAGGGTACCCTCGAAAGAGACACACCCATATCTTGGCTCCTTCTGGAAAGTAAACTAATAGGTGTCTTTTTGTAGGGGACCCCCTCCCCTTCTGGGCCTTTTTTTGCCACCCAACAAAAACGGATACCAACCCCAAACAAAAAGACGAACCACCCACGTCGAAGTCGAACAAATTGCCCCGCCTTGCCGGCCTCCTTTGGAACCCAGCGAGGCCCATCTTGGCCTCGCGTTCCGCATTGCCCCTGAGGTCGTTACATTCTACAGGAAACCCCTGATTTTGGTGTGAATTTGGCTAGTTTCCTGTAGAATTTCCTGTAGCTGGTTTCTATGATACATCGCGCTGCAGATACTGTTCAACCCTTGGCTATCCTTGGGGGAAATGGGTGTGGGACACAAATCGCTACCCAATATGGAACCCTGTTAACTGGAAAGAAGGACTAAAAAACCTGCGGTCCGGTGGTTCAACGTTGACCCATACCCAAATGAGGTTGTCCTTATCTGTCCTTGTGAACCATCCTTAGGTGGGCGGATACTGTTGCTAACACTCTTACCCTCCTGAAGGAAAGTTATCTCTTCCAGGACCCCTCAGACAGGCTCTAAGAGGCGGGTAGGTGCTGAACCATGGACTTTTTGGGGGTTTGGATGGGGCTAGTTCCTAGCAAATGGACCAAATCCACTCTCCGTGGGATAAAACACATACCGACTGCAGGATTTTGTGCAGAGTATCAAGGACGCTTAAGGCCCACCTTTCCGCCTTCTGATCAAAAGGGCATCGGATTGAAATTGACTGGAGCTGGGCCGCTTTGGGGACCCCGAAAATGGCTGGTGTCCTTGTAATTTCCGGGTACATGGATGAAGCTAGAATCCCCCCCCCCTTCTCCGTCCCGGACCCCCAAGTTAAAATACCCCTCTCTGGGTACAACTTCCATGAATTGGCGGAAAGCTTTCAAGGATTCACGGTTTCAGCCCACGCGAGGCTCTCATGGCCAAACCGAAGCAGTGACAAAAACAGTTGCGAGGCCTCGGCGCAAATTTGCGAGCCGAAACAGGTGTAGAGGCGACGATAACTCACGTCCTTTAAAGTCCAGGAACTCATGAAGTTAACAACAAAAACACTGAACTTCTTGCAACAATTCAGCTTCCCTCGAATTGGTGGTTTGAATTGGTGGTTTGGAGGCCACAAAACAGCAGTTACAAAAAAGAAGTTGGACTCCAAAAGGCAAAGTTTTTACAGGATGGCGAAACTGGGGGTTCATTTCAACCAAATGCTTGAAACCGCCGGAAACCGCCCCCTTCCTCCAACTCGCCTGCTGCACGCTTGAGCGCACGTCGGGGCTTGGACATGGCTCCGCATGGGCCGCAATGCACGGCTGGAATCAGAGGGAGCTGATGGGTAGGTGAGTTGGCTAAGCAGTGGAAACCATAGGTCTGTGTACTTCTTCCTTGTATGACCTTTGGCAGACTGTCGCATTAGGTTTTAATCAAGTGAAAACCATGTGCGTGTATTGATTCCTTGTATGATCTTCGGCAGACTCCCACATCAGGTTATAACCACGACTCACCTTGCTTGCGCGCCGGATGCTGGTAAGAAGCCCTTTTCCACCTGCAGATTTCTTTGGCGCCGCCCAAACCAGCCCACAAAGAAGCTACCACGGTAGACAAAAGCAAAAGGGACTGCGGTTGCCAAGTGTGTTTCTAAAGACCCAATTTAAGCAAAGGCTGTCAGTTTGTGAGTAAGAACCCCTCAAGGGAGTGGTCACTTGCAGTGAGCAACATGGGCTACAAGAGTCGAGTCAAACCAAGACAGACAATCTCTTTCCATCACCTGATACGCACAAGCAACTCACTGTCTTTCCCACCACTTCTACATGGATAGAACCGTGTTGCATGAACCGCTTCCCCTTGTGAAACTCACCGTCTTGCCAGGACTGAAGCACCGTGTGCCGCATATCCTCTCCTGTTGCGCGCTTGCGTCTCTCAGCCAAAGGCTCGCCTTGTCAAAGGAACGACAATTCATGGATCCCTGCGAAAAGCTACTGGGCGGGGGGGTGGGGGTGGGCGGGGGGGTAGGGGGGTGGGGGGTGGGGGGGGGGTGGTGGGGCGGTGGGGGTGGGGGGGGGGGCTATCCAAGGATAAGCCCAGGATAAGCCCTTAACACAGGGGTCGGTCACTGGATCAAAGTTGCAATTTACTGGTGGCTTCCATTGCAACGATCGCCACACAGGCCTTGGAAACCCCGTTAATAAGGCCTTATTCAGGGGTGGAGGGATAGCCCCCCCCAAGAATGTGCATGAACAATGTGTTTGAAAGGTCTTGGCACCAGGCTACCCAAGGAAAAACAAGCCGACAAAATTGGGGCGATTGCCCATGTTTAAGGCCGAGTGTGCAGGTGTCCTTTCCTTTGGTGTTTGAAAGGCTCCCGTTGCAGACACTTCAATGCCGCGTTCAGCTTTGCATTTGCGACATTGGAAAGGTGGCAACTGCGAAATGGCTTCCCGAAGCAACGAAATGGCTTCTCACATATACTTGCACCGCGGTGGGTCTCCAATATGTTGTTTCCTCAACCGCGCGACCAAAAGTTTCAAAACTAACTCACCTTATTCGAAGCAAACAAACAAAGGTATCAACACACAGACCCACAACGAGGTTGCTCAAACAAAACCGGAACCCAATTCAACTGGTTCCAATTCCATGTGCCGTGTGCAAGGTTTATCCATGGGTATGATTTCCAACAAGTAGAAGGAACCGCTTTCGAGGGAAATCGATGGGCCTACTGAAACCAGGTATTAACATCATGAACTACCCAAATCCATGGGAAAATTAAAGGCGGCCGCAGCAACGTCTGGCTGGGACTGCGGGCTTTGATTGTGGCTCAATTCATGGACTGTCTTGATGAGAGGCAAGGGGCATAGGATTGGTTCCATGCATTCAATGTTCATGTTCCCCGGGGTGTTTGCCAGTTTTGCGGAAAGAATCGTCCTGACAATAGGTGTCCTTTTGGTAGAGTAGATGGGACTGGCAAATGGAATAAACACCAATCTCAACCAGTGCCATCTATGTCTAACCAAACTAACCGATCAAAAGGACACCCTATGAACATTACCAGAAACTAAGCTACCAATTTGGAAACCCTCTGCCGGTCCCCTTCCATTTTTCCGATATTCTTGGGGACTGGACAAATCGGACCTCACAAAAGGCCAATCAAGGTACCAAATCTCTTGGAGGACCGGGGAAGACTTCCCCCATCGGATCCCCACCAAAATCGCAGCTGAGCGCCCCCTTTCTCCGCAGCGATTGCCAGCGAAGGGCGATCCGCTACGAATAAAATCTACGGGCGTCAAGCAAGATAGGAATCAGACCCAAATAAGATGGATCTCCCTCGTGTGTTCCTTTCAACTCAGCCCAAAAAGGGGACCCTCAAAAAGAGAAACACACACATAGAGACATGCTGGCAACATTAAATTGCAATCTTTGATCCATCCAGAAAGGAACATATTAGGAAGAAGCTTGCTATGTGTGGACATGATATCATGTATGTTCTTTGTCCTCTTAGCTTGACAAACAGGTACTCTGAGGCCCCTTAGAAAATGACTTAGGGAGGGGGCGTCTTGGTAGCCAAAGTCTCTATGACCCCCAAATGGAAAATGCCCAGCAAAAGAAGCCTCACTTTAAACGAAGCCTCACTTTAAGCTAAAACCGAAAGGTGCTTCTCAAAACCAAAAGGCAAAATATTGGTGTGTCTTTTCGTAGGAAATCAGACCCCCCTCCCATGTTGGGATGTTCCGTGCGGTTGCCCCTCTTTACCAACTCCAAAAATAGCAACAACAAGAGGCGTTGTCCCAAGGGGAAATCGCCAAAAGTAGTCAATGCTATCAGGTTCTGGCGTTTCTTTTTGGGAAACCCTTTTGGTTGGTGTTAAGAGGAACATACACCAATAGTACCACCATTTTATTCCTGGGGGGGCACTAAAGAACAACATACCCATCCAGTTTGGTTGCTGGTCCATTGACACAGACTCAGTCCATGAACGATTCCCAAAATTATATTCCATGGACCCAGTTTGGTTGATAGTCAATGGGAAGCCGAAAGGACACCAACCATTATAGGTGACATCTAGTTTGAATGAAACAATTTTGATAAACATCCAATTTGAAGACCACAGGTGCCTCCTAGTCACTTCAGCCTTCCTGGTTTGAGCAGGGCCGGGGTTGCCAACCGCTGAATTAATCCCCAGCCAGCGGATCTGCCATCGCAAAGCTCCATGGGGCCCGGCTCTGTTCTTGCCAAAGTGCAGGGGGTACATGGGTGACGGGACCCGTTGACGTCGTTTAGGTGGGGATTCATGTCCAACCACTTTTGACGTGATTCCCTATTGAAAATAGCCATATGAATCCCAGCGATGTAAATCCCATAGCAAGGTATGGCAAGGTATAAGTATACCCTCTGTCCGAAAATCAACCGGGAACCTGGGCAACATACACACCTAACTGAGAGCGGCGATCCTCAACGAGTCAACTCAGGAGGATTCCTCTGAGCATTTCCCTGAAATAATCCCACTAAATGCCGTGGCTCACGCAAAAACGGAGGAATACTGTGGCTGGACAATCCTGCAACACTTGGTGGGTGATTTGTGCAAGTATTCGTAGGGCGTCGTCCATCCCACCGGTGCAGGATTTTGCCAATGCTGGGAGTTATAGCTCTTTATTTGCCCCAAGCAAACTATACTTGGATAGGGCAGTCTGGTTCCAGCCAAGGACCAACCCTTTTTCAGCTTCACCATTCCTAGTAAGGAGCCCGTGGACAAAAACCAGATCTGAAGGGTCGCGCCAAAGAATTGTCTAGAAGGGCTTCCACCACCCACTAACCGCAGTTCTACCCCACTGGACGGGATACGCTCTAGTGGCTGTGTGGCTGGGGTGATTCTCAGCTGCCCAAAGCCCCTGAAACTAGAAGGCTAACTTTGGAACCTTGACTAAAAATGAACCAACTGGGAAACCAAAAGGTCGAGCGGTTGATTCGCTTTGAGCAACTGAGGATTTACGGATGGTCGAATCCATCTTTAAGATTGCGTGTTCACAAAGCCCATCGGGTGACAGAAACTCCGGATCCGCAAGCCGGGAAGAAGTGCACGCAAACAATCTCAGGCACGCGTCTGGTCCCACGCACTTGTCGCTCTCTCGGTGTTTTTCCTTTTATGAGTGGAAGCCATGGAAGCCAACGAAAACCTCTTTCAAAGATAAAGGTTACTCCAGGGCAGGGCTGTGGGGAATAACCACTTCTGTGATACAACAGAAAGGGCCTAACCCCAAAGACTATTTTCTTCATAAGGGGGATTCCCAAAAGTATCACAGTGGTTGGAGAAACCCCTTATCCCACAACCCTGGTCCAGGGAATCCAAAAAACTCTCCCAGAGTTCGTCATTTCCAGATGCAACCCAGAAACTGAGCACCGCCAAGCCCCGTGCCGCGCCGTGAGACCACTGGAAGGTCGCCCAAGGTTCGGCTTTTGCTAGTCTTGGGAAGGAACCCAGGATGCAACTCGGTGGCTTTAGATCTGCGAAGCCCTGCGAAAAGTGAATCTATTTTAGTGGTTTAGTTCGGAAAACCCACTTGGCAAAAAGTTATTCAGTCCTAACATCCCTTGGCGAAAAATGCGAAGGCAAAAACGCCGTGAGAGGCAGCCTAGCGGATGTGTAAAGGTGCCCACCTGACTTGAGAGAACGGCTGGCGGGGTATCAATAAACATTGGATGATGGCTGGCACCAGGGATTCAATCATGGCTCAACCAGACAAACCAACCAACCAACCAACCAACAAGCAACATCAACCAAGCAACCAACCGACCAACCAGCCAGCCAGCCAACCAAACAACCACTCACAAACTACCAAAATCAACCAAGCAGTAAATCACTAACAAAAAACAAAGCTCACTCAAAATTCCTAAAATCGCAGGTTGCCGCATTCTCCTGCATGCAGAGAGCCCACCTATTGTCCTATCGACCCATGAGAAGAAGCAGTTGGGGGGGAGTACTCTCACTTGGTGAGTGGATGGGCCAAAAAAGGTCTGAACTTGCTGTTCGCCACCAAATTGGTTCAACCCCAAAAAGCGTTTAAAGTCCATGAGCTCAGGGAGTGAGTACTGGGGAACAAACAAAAACTGGGAAAACTGAAACGGAAACTGCAAAGTACCATGCGCGGGACAAGACACTGCCAGCATTCCGTCTCAGTCCTCGATGGGGTCATCCACGAGAGCCTTGGGGTGAACCAACAAAAGGAGGGTTCTTGCAGGATCTAAGTCAAGCTGTTTTGTTTGGAATTGTGAGGTTTAGCGGAATCTAACATGCTTTCTTCTTGCTGATCCAAGTTTTGTCGAAGGATATGCGGGCGTGACTTTTTTCAGGCGACTCCCAAAAGGGTGGCTTTCCTTTCGGTCTCCCTTTTAAACACCACCAAAGATGCCCCCCCCCCCACAACCAACATCAGACAAACCCGTCATATGTTTGTTTTTTCTGCAGGATTCCTCGAACAGTCCAAAGCTCCCGGGCTTTGTTCTAGCTTCTGGACGCCAAAGTTTTATTTGGGGTTTGAGGTGAGGGACATGATCCTGCAGACCCCATGAAAAAACCGGGGTTCAGGAAGGGTTCCGAGCAGCTTCTGACCAGCACCCGGGTCCCAACCACTGCTTTTTCGAGAGTACATGGGAATTGGGACATCTGCAAAAGCAGGCAAGTTGGGGAGGTTCCTGGAAGGAATTTTAAGAGGTGTGGTTTGTGTTTGGGGGGGATGGGGTGGCCCCATTCAACGGACAAAACACGAAAAACCTCAAAATCCCCCCTGACCACACTCTTTCAGATGATACTAAGGGACCCGTGGGGACTACAAAGCCCACTTTGTTACTGTGCTTTGTCGGCCTTCCCGGCGCAAAGGAGCATTGCGCACTTCAAACTGTTGCGGTTTGGATCTTGGAAAAGCAGTACGTAGACACAACTGCTGAACACTTTGCATGGCATATTCGACGTCATGCTAGTTGGCATCAAATAGGTCAGGTGGTGACAAACTGTTCTTTGCGGGAACCGGATTTGGGTGCTCAAAAACAACTGCAAAGTAAGATAAAAGAACACCAACTGCTCCGAGATTCCACGGAACCCTGGAGAGGGCCGCTTGCGGGCCCTTTCTGCAGCGGTTCCTTTTTGTTGGCGGGATTTTTCTGCTTGGAGGGTCAATGACGGGGCAACAGTAAATTGCTCTTTCCAAACATTTGGACTTCCAAAACGTGTTTTTTGTTTTCTCTCTCTCTCTCTCTCTCTCTTCATCTGTGTCTCTGTTTCTCTCTTTTCCCGCGTCCAAAGGCTACGGCCCAGGGAAAGGTGAAGAGCAATGGGACACTAGGCCCATTGCACGCTGTCAAAAGAGGTCTCAAATTGTGGTCGTTGATTCCCTTTAGACAGATCTGATGTTGTAGATCCCTCTCTGTCAATTCCAAAGATCTAGAAGTCCTGCTACATCTGCTCAAAAATCTAAACATTTCAAACGTCTAGGTCCTCCAGTAAAGAGGTTAGACTAAGGGTACCTTTTTTCTGCAGACTATTTTAGTAGGGGAACCCTCCCAACCAAAAAAAAATCGGGTGAGAAGGGCACTACTGGGGGACCTAGACGTTGTGCGAACCGCCCAAACCTTGGTCCAAGAAATCCCCATTCTGCACCCAAGCTGACAGCTATCAAAGGCCCCGGCCGTGTTCTGCAGGCTTGGACTCAGAATACGCGACCAACATGGGGTCGTGTGTTCTCAGCATTTGGCCATGGGTCAAATCCCGTACCCCCAGTGAACATCCCAATCCCCACTAAAGTAGACTAAAATGGGTGGTGTACCTACCTCATAATGGTACCATTGGTTTTGACCCACAGCCATTCTGGTCTAAAGGGACACCAACAGGAAAACACATACAATTTTAGGGCTCCCCTTTGACGCATACTCGGAAAGAATCCCCCCTCAAAAAACAACAAAATGGATCACCTCTAGTTTCGCAGAAAGAACAAAACCACTGCCTACAACGAAAAACTCTTCAAGGGAATCCTCTTCAAAGGAAGCTGGAATGCCTCTTGGGGAAAGTATTGGCCAATTCTACATGGCTGAAGTTTGCAAACGAATCCCAGACCCAATCACTCTACCTGGATATTCCAGCGGGGATCAATTCGGAAAGCATGTTGAGATGCTGCAATTGGAGTACTTTTGTTCAGTGAAAGCCTACTAGCGACTGACCCACTGCAGCGCCGTTAGGTGTCGATTCCCTTCATTCACACCCCAACAAATTCAAGCAGCATTTTCTGGTGCGCGGTTTGGAGGTGTGGAGGTTATGTACCACCAACATGAGGTTCTCAGCAAAGAGCCCTTGCAGAAGTGGTATAAAAGCACCACGCCTCCGAAACCCAAGGCAACCATTCCCAAGGAGTGAATATGGGTCTGTCTCAAAATATGGGATCCCTTTTTGGGGGGTGATTTTAAGGGAAACCAAGAGGAAACCAAGCATTTTTTGGGGTTGCCTTATTTTGAGACACCATATGTGTCCAAGTACCACCTCAACACATGAAATTGTAGGAACAGGCCATTCGGCTTTTTCTCAATCCGTGCCCGGTGCAGCTCGGAAAGCGCAAAAACTCTGACCCAAACCCAGAAGCCTTGGCTTTCCGAAACACCAAAACTGGAAGCCCAGGAGACCACGCACTTGCCCTCAGTTTGGTTTACCGCGATCTGTCAATCCAGCTCCTAACCAGGGTTCATGTTCACCCCAGATGAATCAAACAGGGGGGGTGTTCCCCTCCAATAGTGATGATTCCCCACTAAACCCGAGGACACCACCATATTAATAAATTTATAAACAGGGGGTTACTCTTGTGGGGTCAACATTCGGCTCGCACTGCCTACAAACTCAGCCAATCAGCTCGTTTCGTTGGCCACTGGGGACAGGGCGTTTCAACCGCCTCAGCACTCTTCGCCTGCACGCTTCAAAAGCTGCCATGTGACTTTGTCAACAGGGCGTTCCCTCAAGACGGTGGATGAAACCTAGCATATTGCAAGTGGGTAAATCTACCACAAACCATCAGAACTTGATAGGGTTCCAACTTGTTCCTTGTAATATGGCAGGGGCATCCACTGTAATTCATTGGTGGGATTTTAGGGTTTAGGGTAAACTTGTATGCGTGCCCTTTGACTTGTTTGAGAAATTACATGGGATTCTTTGAGTTCATGGGATTCCTCAAAATGTGACCTCCATTTGCGAATACGTACCCTGGAAAGGAAGGATAAAAAAAAGTCCAATGTTGATGGAACCTTTTACAACCAACAGGGGAACAACAAATTCTATGCTTACGCGAATGGAAGCTGGGAACTCTCCGCCATGCTACGTGTTCAAAATGTCTCCAGGGGGGCAGGATGCAAGCCCTGCACACCGGCAAAGGAGGCAATGCGGGTGGTGAGTTGGTGACGCAAATGCGGCATGCGGCAATGTGTGCATTGCACCGCTGAGTGACATGTGATTTGAGTGCCATATGTCACAGCAATAGACATACATGAGTACAAGGGCAGGCATCAGGCCTACGTGTCTAGTAGCAAACAACATGTTTGGGCTTGTCTCTGAATGGGGGTCATATCTCAACATGCGTGCGACTCTTTTGAAAGGGAATTACAACATGGGTACGCTGGTGTTCGCCAGTTAAGCTCCTCAGTCATGTTAAGCCCGGATGCATGCGTACCGATTCATGTGGCACTCGCTCAGCTGCAACTTGGAGCAGCCTTTGTTGGACAGGTCCCACTGCATTGACGTATAGTCTATACCGTATAGTCTTGTACGAAGTCCCTTGCGACGCTATTGGACCGGAAAAAAAAGGAACGCCTCTTTAGTCCATTTGGTCCTAACGTGGCTTTTGCCTCCAAACCACAACTCCCGAGAAACACTTCCCCTGATCCCGTTTGGGAATATGTTTGGAGGGGGGGCTGAAACCATCTCAGATCCTTTCTTAAACCCTGGTTGAATTTTAGGCGACCCCCTTTCTCCCCATTTGACATGAATCAACATGTCCACAAAGGGAACCCGCCACAAAAACAGCAATTTGATGTTGAACCTCCCTGACCAACGTTGGGCCGACTTTGAATTTATATGGGTGTTTTTGTGTTGTGGAGGTATCCCTTTTCTTGTGGGTAAAAAAAAGAAGGCAAAACACATTTTCCCTTCTTCTTCGTTTCTTTTTTTTGGGGGGTCCCCTGCAGTTTCTAATTGACGTCTTTGTGTGTCAGTCCCAAGCTTACGCCGCTTAGATATTTCCATGCAGCTTCCCTTCAGACCGTGAACGTGCCAAGGTTTACATGGAAATGCCTCTGGGCCCCGACTTGGAAAACTACTGTGGATGGACGAAATCCTGCACCACTTGGAAGCCATGGGAAACCACTGATTGTTGGTATTCACAAGAAAAACATTATTCCAAGCTTTCTTAAGTGGTGCAGGATTTCGTCCATCCACAGTAGGACTAGGACTCACTCGGGTCTTTGCAGCATTGGTAGCCTTGCTTCGGAGGTCAATAGCGCGTGCCTGCTGGCCCTACAGTGGTCCACAACCGTCCAACGGGTCTGACCCTTCCATAGGTCCAGTCTGATGCGCTTAGACTAAAGCAAACTCAAGTCGGTATGGGTCAAAATGAAACCACCAGGCTATGGACCGCAGGTTTTAGTCCTTGCTTCCATTTACCAGTTTGGGGTTACCCTCTGGGGGGAGGGAGGGGAGGGGGAGCCCCTGCAAGCCCCTAAGCCCTTAATAAGGCCTTATTTGCGTATTCGGGCTCCCTCCCCCTCCCCTCCCTCCCCCTCAGCCCCCATGACTATTTTGACCCACACCCAAGTGCCAAGCCATGAAGCCGTCCCCTTGCCTTCGCCTTGCTCAGGGACTCAGCCGCACCCGAGCGAAGAACCGCACCGTCAATGGGCGCACCTCAGTGCCAACTTGCTGTCGACGGGTGCGCTGAGTGGATCCCAAACTGACAAAGCAACTTGTTTGCACCCTAACCCCAATCATGGGACCCTCCATCGGATAACTGACAGATTTTTTCCGGGAACCCACCAAACAAAAGAGAAAAAGGGAACCTCCGCAGAACTGACTGCCCGAGTGGATTGGCCAACAACGGGTGCCTTGACTTGCTGTCTATCAATTGTAAAATCATACGTACTAGTCCACGTGAACAGAATATGCTTGCATCCTTAACATATTGGTGCCTCAAAAGAGCTTGCGTCGAGGTCTCAAACCTTCTAATAGGGCTGCAAGATACATAATGACTTGAGGAAAAATCCAAAATGGGCACCGGGCCCCACATCAGACAATCCCGCGTTCCCAAGGGGATGACGTCGATCTAAACCCTGGACCTCGGTACACAGAAAAACATATGTTCGGACTCTGTTCCGCATTTAGTCCCCTTCGTCCAACTAACATAACACCTGTGAAAGCTCACTCAAAAATCAGGAATTCCTCTTGGAGGGGTCCCTCTCCCCGACAAAAAGCTTCAACTTGCTGCGTCCATTAAAAGGATCGCCACTTGAGGTTCCAAAAAGGGAAATGAGTCACAAGCAAAACCCGGTATTAAAATGGTCTACTCAGAACCATGTAAAGAATTAAGAAGGCGGCCGCAACTATTTCTGGCTGGGACTGCCCTTTACTAACCTTCATCTACCCGGGTTTTGATTGTGCCTCAAATGGCTCGCAAACCCCAGAGAACAGCGCTGTCCAATGCCTTGGGACGCCGGGCTCAAGTCCATGAGGAGTTGCATCAAGGGGTGCGGCAGCCGTTGAAGGTGTGGATGCTGACCCCTGCGTTCCGATTCCTTCCGGTAGCCTTGCCCCCCCCCCCCCGGAAATTAGCATGGAACCCCCACAAGCGCATCCCACAAAAAGAGAGATAGATAACTTGAGGGAGGCAGATTGATGGAGGTAGACTGATGGAGAAAGAGAGAGAGAGAGAGAGAGAGAGAGAGAAAAGAGCTTCCGCTGAAGTATTGGCTCCTTGGGTTCCATCGTAATCTGCTGAGTAACATCAGGGGGGTTAGCTTCCGATTGCTTTCATTCTAATCCCAACGAAAAACTCCAGCATGCTTCGCTTCAAAGATACGGGAAAAAAAAGGTACACCAGGGAAACCACCACGGCAAACCAGGCGAAGACGCTCTTCTTTTGAAGGCTCGGGGGCGTGATGTCAGCTAAACAAAAATCCCCACAAGAAGCTCAATGAAGCGGGCATCGAACCCCACAAAATTGGCAGGCCAATAGACACCCTCACGGCACGCACCGCCCTACAAATTCCACGGAAGGAACCCAGAAGGGGTTCATTTCCCGAAGAAGTCCCCTCAACAATGCTGTTTTTTTTGGGTTCCATGCGAATGTGGGGAGACAAACGGGAGCATTTGCCTTGCTTCGCAAAAGCTATGCACTTTCCCTCCCCGTTGGAAGGGTTTGAGCCTCCAACAAGGGCCGTGGAGCCCAGATTCACTCGGCCTAGACTCGCTAGCAGACTCGGCCCTTGGGTGTTGGGTCCAAAAGTTGGACTTTGGTGGGTTAAATGGAAACTACCACTAAACACAAAAAGGCTAAAAAGCAAAGGAACCGGATGGCTGGGAGCTACCAAGTAGTGAAGGGCCCAATGCAACGCAAACAACACTTCCCAGTTGGACACCTGAACTCGAATATCATAAGTTGTGTTCCAGGGCCCTATAATCGTAGTGAGTCTTAACGACATAGCTTACGCAGCATCAACAAACAAGGAAGTGCCAAACGGACACGAGTCTTCCACACAAAAAATATGCGCACCTTGACGGGCCCTGGCTCCAATTCTGAAAGCTCCCGAAATACACTCACGCCCCAAGCACTTGCAGTGGCCCTCTTGAAAAAAATGGAAGCAAGCCACTGACCAGGCCTGCTTGCACAAAGAATCAGGTGCACAAAGGGCAGCGTGGTCGTGAGCAGCGACTGACCTTAGCGAGACCACCCTCAAAAAACCGTTGGCCCCCGATTAGGCGGCTTCCTGAGTGGAAGGGCCACTACAAGTCCAAACTTTTGCGTGCTACTAAAATGGTCCAACCCCAAAAAGGGACTGAAGTCCATCAACTCAAGAAGCACAGCGACAAATAGGGAAACATTGAGGATGGCTCAAGAAGCACGGCCAGCAACTGGGGGAACATTGAGGCTGGCTCAAAAAGCAAGGCAAAAATGGAGGCTGGCTCAAACAGCACGGCAAACATGGAGGATGGCCCAAAAAGCACTGCAAAAAATGGAGAATGGCTCAAACAGAACGGCAAAAATGGAGGATGGCCCAAAAAACCATGCAAAAAATGAAAAATGGCTCAAACAGCACGGCAAAAAAAAAGGATGGCCCAAAAAGCACGGCATGGCCCAAAAAGCAAGGCAAAACATGGAAAACTGGAGGATGGCTCAAACAGCACGGCAGAAACGGAGGATGGCCCAAAAAGTACAACAACAAATGGAGGATGGCTCAAACAGCACGGCAAAAATGGAGGATGGCCCAAAAAGCACGGCAAAAACAATGGAAAACTGGAGGATGGCTCAAACAGCACGTCAAAAATGGAGGGTGGCTCAAACAGCACGGCAAAAAATGGAAAAATGGAGGATGGCTCAAACAGCACGGCCAAAATGGAGGATGGCCCAAAAAGCATGGCAAAACATGAAAACATGGAGGATGGCTCAAACAGCACAGCAAAAATGGAGGATGGCCCAAAAAGCACTCCAAAAAATGGAGGATGGCTCAAACAGGACGGCAACAATGGAGGATGGCCCAAAAAGCACGGCAATACATGGAGGATGGCTCAAACAGCACGGCAAACATGGAGAATGGCCCAAAAAGCACGGCAAACATGGAGGATGGCCCAACAAGCACGGCAAACATGGAGGATGGCTCAAACAGCACGGCAAACATGGAGGATGGCCCAAACAGCACGGCAAAACATGGAAAACTGGAGGATGGCTCAAACAGCACGGCAAACATGGAGGATGGCTCAACAAGCACGGGAAACAATGGAAAACTGGAGGATGGCTCAAACAGCACGGCAAACATGGAGGATGGCCCAAAAAGCACGGCAAACATGGAGGATGGCCCAAAAAGCACGGCAAATATGGAGGATGGTCCAAAAACAACTGCAAAAAATGGAGGATGGCCCAAACATCACGGCAAAACATGGAGGATGGCTCAAACAGCATGGCAAACATGGAGGATGGTTCAAACAGCACGGCAAATATGGAGGATGGCGCAACAAGCACGGCAAACATGGAGGATGGATCAAACAGCACGGCAAATATGGAGGATGGTCCAAAAACAACTGCAAAAAATGGAGGATGGCCCAAACAGCACGAAAAAGATGGAGGATGGCTCAAACAGCATGGCAAACATGGAGGATGGTTCAAACAGCACGGCAAATATGGAGGATGGCGCAACAAGCACGGCAAACATGGAGGATGGCTCAAACAGCACGGCAAATATGGAGGATGGTCCAAAAACAACTGCAAAAAATGGAGGATGGCCCAAACAGCACGGCAAACATGGAGGATGGCCCAAACAGCACGGCAAACATGGAGGATGGCCCAACAAGCACGGCAAACATGGAGGATGGCTCAAACAGCACGGCAAACAATGGACAACTGGAGGATGGCTCAAACAGCACGGCAAACATGGAGGATGGCTCAAAAGCACGGCACGGCACGGCAAACATGGAAAACTGGAGGATGGCTCAAACAGCACGGCAAACATGGAGGATGGCTCAACAAGCACGGCAAACAATGGAAAACTGGAGGATGGCTCAAACAGCACGGCAAACATGGAGGATGGCCCAAAAAGCACGGCAAAACATGGAAAACTGGAGGATGGCTCAAACAGCACGGCAAACATGGAGGATGGCTCAACAAGCACGGCAAACAATGGAAAACTGGAGGATGGCTCAAACAGCACGGCAAACATGGAGGATGGGCACGGCAAACATGGAGGATCAAAAAGCACGGCAAAACATGGAAAACTGGAGGATGGCTCAAACAGCAGCACGATGGCTCAACAAGCACGGCAAACAATGGAAAACTGGAGGATGGCTCAAAAAGCACGGCAAACATGGAGGATGGCCCAAAAAGCACGGCAACACATGGAAAACTGGAGGATGGCTCAAACAGCACGGCAAACATGGAGGATGGCCCAACAAGCACGGCAAAAACAATGGAAAACTGGAGGATGGCTCAAACAGCACGGCAAACATGGAGGATGGCCCAAAAAGCACGGCAAAACATGGAAAACTGGAGGATGGCTCAAACAGCACGGCAAACATGGAGGATGGCTCAACAAGCACGGCAAACAATGGAAAACTGGAGGATGGCTCAAACAGCACGGCAAACATGGAGGATGGCTCAAAAAGCACGGCAAACATGGAGGATGGCCCAAAAAGCACGGCAAAACATGGAAAACTGGCTCAAACAGGATGGCTCAACAAGCACGGCAAACAATGGAAAACTGGAGGATGGCTCAAAAAGCACGGCAAACATGGAGGATGGCCCAAAAAGCACGGCAAACAATGGAAAACTGGAGGATGGCTCAAACAGCACGGCAAACATGGAGGATGGCCCAAAAAGCACGGCAAAACATGGAAAACTGGAGGATGGCTCAAACAGCACGGCAAACATGGAGGATGGCTCAAAAAGCACGGCAAACAATGGAAAACTGGAGGATGGCTCAAACAGCACGGCAAACATGGAGGATGGCCAAAAGCACGGCAAAACATGGAAAACTGGAGGATGGCTCAAACAGCACGGCAAACACAAAAAGCACGGCAAACATGGAAAACTGGAGGATGGCTGGCAAACTCAAACACGCACGCAAACAATGGAAAACTGGAGGATGGCTCCAACAGCACGGCAAACATGGAGAATGGCCCAAAAAGCACGGCAAACAATGGAAAACTGGAGGATGGCTCAAAAAGCACGGCAAACATGGAGGATGGCCCAAAAAGCACGGCAACACATGGAAAACTGGAGGATGGCTCAAACAGCACGGCAAACATGGAGGATGGCCCAACAAGCACGGCAAAAACAATGGAAAACTGGAGGATGGCTCAAACAGCACGGCAAACATGGAGGATGGCCCAAAAAGCACGGCAAACAATGGAAAACTGGAGGATGGCTCAAACAGCACGGCAAACATGGAGGATGGCTCAACAAGCACGGCAAACAATGGAAAACTGGAGGATGGCTCAAACAGCACGGCAAACATGGAGGATGGCTCAAAAAGCACGGCAAACATGGAGGATGGCCCAAAAAGCACGGCAAAACATGGAAAACTGGAGGATGGCTCAAACAGCACGATGGCTCAACAAGCACGGCAAACAATGGAAAACTGGAGGATGGCTCAAAAAGCACGGCAAACATGGAGGATGGCCCAAAAAGCACGGCAACACATGGAAAACTGGAGGATGGCTCAAACAGCACGGCAAACATGGAGGATGGCCCAACAAGCACGGCAAAAACAATGGAAAACTGGAGGATGGCTCAAACAGCACGGCAAACATGGAGGATGGCCCAAAAAGCACGGCAAACAATGGAAAACTGGAGGATGGCTCAAACAGCACGGCAAACATGGAGGATGGCCCAAAAAGCACGGCAAAACATGGAAAACTGGAGGATGGCTCAAACAGCACGGCAAACATGGAGGCGGCAAACATGGAGGATGGCCCAAAAAGCACGGCAAAAAACAATGGAAAACTGGAGGATGGCTCAAACAACACGGCAAACATGGAGGATGGCTCAACAAGCACGGCAAAAACAATGGAAAACTGGAGGATGGCTCAAACAGCACGGCAAACATGGAGGATGGCCCAAAAAGCACGGCAAAAACAATGGAAAACTGGAGGATGGCTCAAACAGCACGGCAAACATGGAGGATGGCTCAACAAGCACGGCAAAAACAATGGAAAACTGGAGGATGGCTTAAACAGCACGGCAAACATGGAGGATGGCTTAAAAAGCACGGCAAAAACAATGGAAAACTGGAGGATGGCTCAAACAGCACGGCAAACATGGAGGATGGCCCAAAAAGCACGGCAAAAACAATGGAAAACTGGAGGATGGCTCAAACAGCACGGCAAACATGGAGGATGGCCCAAAAAGCACGGCAAAAACAATGGAAAACTGGAGGATGGCTCAAACAGCACGGCAAACATGGAGGATGGCCCAAAAAGCACGGCAAAAACAATGGAAAACTGGAGGATGGCGCTCTCGCGCACGTCGATCCGCGTCCAGCGCCTGCGGCCCTGGCTGAGCGAGGGCGAGCCCAGCGCATGCGGCAGGCGGCAAAGGTGCCCCGCCAGCTCCTGCAGCGCTTTGCTTCTCTTCGCTTCGGACGGACCCGGGCGATGGGTAGAGAAACGACTTTCCTCTTGGACAGCGGGTTTGTGCACTTCCATCTTAGTTGGTGGAAGGGTATGTTCAAACAAAGGTGGCCAAGCGGGGGGTTGTTCATAGCCGACTGGGTTTCCACTCACTGGGGCTTTGAATCCCTGAAACTGAGAGCCTCTAAGTGGCCTCCACCGATTTGCAATGGGGTACATCTAATTGGCTGAAATAATATATGCCCCTCTCTCCCACTATCATGGCACCTGACAAGGGGCCCCTCCAAGAGGAACATGACTTTTGAGGTACCCTCTCCACAGGTGCGGAAGGGAATCGAAGGGAATCTAATTATCTTCCACAGAGGATGTGGTAAGGACCCCTCTGCTGAGGCCCCAAAGAACTGCCTGTACTTACTTCTATCCCTTTCTGCCACGAGAAAGGCTGTGAAGACTCTAATTCTGCAGCATTGGACCCTCCATCACCTATTTGACTCAGAACCAAAACCTGGTTTGTTAAGGGGTCCACCAAAAGCAATGCAAAAATGAAGGTATTGATTCCCTACAAGTTTCAAGCAGCGTTCGGTTTGCAGGAATTTCTGGTGTTGTTCTGTGCAGGAGGATCCTGACCTGAACAAATGACTCTGTAGCCCCATAGCCCTGTGAATTCCCAAATTTGGGAGATCGTCAAAGGGTGAGCACGAGCCAAAAGTACCGCAAATATCAGCAACATCGGTCTGAATGTAGTAAATACAGTCAAGTGCTGGACATCTTCGAAATCCTGTTTTTGACAAGGACAGTGTTTCCGAGCTCACAGAAGTGTTTGTACTGCACACGCTAGCTCTTCACAAAGGGAATCTCTTGCCAGCGATTTGAAACACTTAACTCCGTTCAAAACGCGGGCTCCTGAGAACCTTGAATGAAAAATGGCTGCAAAGCCGTTTTAAAGCCCATTACTTGTAGCCCTACTGGATTCAAGCTTCGAAATGAGAGTGCTAAGAATCTCGACACTTGAAAGTTGAATTCAAATGGCTTGAAAGCTGCTATTCAAGGAGATTCTCTGGAAGTGGACAACCTGTCCCCCTTTCTCTTCCCAAAACAAACGTTACAAGTTTCCCTGGGTAATGGGGCATACAACAAACTTCTACACCAGTAGAACCCATCTAATCTAGCCAAACTAACCGATAAGAAGGACACCCATGGTTGTTGAGTGCCTGAAGAGCATAGCCGTCCCATGGCAAGGGTTCAGCAAGCCATGCTCGAGATTCATCTGTCTTGGCGAGCCTTTGCCCAGCGACAAAGATATGTGCTTTTCCCCCTGAAATCGTCCTGGCAAACCCTAATTATTCAGGTTTCCCTTTCAAACTCTGCAAAAAACCGCTGCTTCAAGTCCCCAAACCACCACTCCAAACCGCCAACTAAGGTTTCCCCGACCTATTGGCGTTTTCGGGGCACGTTCTCCTCTTCCCCGTCCTCCGTGCGCCGCGTTCTGTGGCGCTGGACATCCCACAGCAGCGGCCGGACCTGAAGCGAAACAAAAGGAACCTGGTGGAAAAACCCAACAAGAACCCAATTGGGTCTTAAGGTGGTCTAACAGTGGTGGTGCAAGGCCGGGAATGCGGAAAAGTGACCAGCGAAACCCGGCGAAACCACCGCCACATCAGCACATGAAGAACAGCTTGCTCCATCAGTTTCTGAAAACCCAAAATAAACTCGAGGAAACGAGGCAGACGTGTTTCGCCCCAAACACGTGCACTGCCATGTTTGAAACTGGGTCTAACTTTTGACCTTGCGTTTCGCTAAAAAGGGGCTCCCCTCCCCTCCTCCCCTTTCAGAGTCCTTGTGCAAGCCCGTCCAAACCTTGAAATGGTTCAACTGCCGTGTTCGATCGGATTGTGTTTTGAGCCAACCTTTGCTTGAGGGGAAATGTCTGGACCGTGGGAATCCATCGAAGTATCGAAAGGAAAATTCCATGGTTCTATGATCAAACGGTCAAACTCCAAACTGCCACTACTGATCATAGGGCCTGTTGCCCACAAAAAGCGTGCACGTTGTCCAACCACATGGCCAGCAAAAGCTGAAGAATGAGAGCCGCAAGCTGTCCTCTTTGCTCTCGCAACTCGGACATGCATTCCATGCATTCCGCGATCACATCAAGAGTGAAATAGGACACCATCAAAAAGGAGAGCCAACCACAAAATCGCAATGGGTAGCCTCCTGATAGGAAACCATCAGGGAGGAGAGCAAACAAAATCGCAATGGGTAGCCTCCTGTCCAACATGGAACCCAAAGGGGTCTTTTGAAAGGGAGAGGCGGCGAGTTCCCCTTCAGGGTTTAGCCGCTAAGCCTAAGCCCAAACATGTCAACCATCGGACACCAGTCAAGTGTGAGCAGGTCCCAAGCTTTTGGGAGAAATCTTTAGTGGATACCAACAAAAAGCCCAAGGAAGTGTTGGAAACTACCAACCTTTCTCTGGTACCGTGGGAAATTCCCATCATGAATGCTCATTTAAAGGTCCTGCAGGGCCGTTGGTACAAAACTGGCCCCAAAAACCAGCTTTGCACCATGTCCAAACTGGTACGTCAGGGCCCTTAAAGACAGCCCCCGGCGCCCCTAGAAAGCTCCGTTCAGTCGACATGGTGGCATTGTTCTGGCGAATTTCTTGGAACAAAGTCAACCAGGGCCGGCAGGGGCTGCAGCGGTTGGTCTTTGATTGCAAGGCACCCTAGGGGGTTGGAGAAGTCCCAAAGACTGCTAGGTCCTCCAGTAGAGAGGTCAGAACTTGGGTACCAACTTCTTATTTTGTCTATTTTAGTGGGGGAACCCTCCCCAAAAAAGGGTACAAGGTCACTACTGGGGGACCTAGACTGGATCAGCCTCACCGACATTTTCCATCCGTACTCCGAGCACCGGGCCATGTTGAAGGCTGCCCTCGGCTGGATGAGAGGAAGTGATGTGTAGAAGTTGGGGGACCGTGCCATGGACACCGTGCGAGTCTATTTTGCAGCAAAGAACCCGAAAGAACCAACACCCTAAAAGAAGGAGCTTGCGAATTTAAACTCGAATTGTCCACCTGGACCCTCAAAAATCCCTTAAAAATGGGTTTGACCCCCAAAATTATGGTGGGTGATCTCCTATTTTTATGGGTAGTTTGAGGGTCCAGGCACACGGAAAACCCCGCCCCAAAGGGGCGAACCATAGCCCTCCAACTCGAAGGCTTAAAGGATCTGATCGCACCGTGTCAGACGCTTTGGAAATTGTCACTGGACATCGCAACAGCCGAAAGGAGCGGCAACCTGGAGATTCAAACACCCTGGACCCTCAAACTTCCCTTAAAAATGGGATATCACCCCATAATTTTGGGGGTCAAACCCATTTTAATGGGTAGTTTGAGGGTCCAGGACCATATGTTCTTTTTTGTTTGGTGTTTGGTGTATTGGGAAAAAGACTGGAGAAAAAAAAGAACTGGGCCTCTAGTACGAAGGCCGGCGTCTCAGGTGCTGCCCCAAGCCGTTTGGGAGGACATTTCAGCCAACAAAGTCTGACATCAACTGGGTTCCCCAGTAGAGAGGTTAGAATCGTTAGAATAAGGCTACTCACTTTTTTCAGGACGTCTGTTTTGGTAGGGGAACCCTCCCCGCAAAAAAGAAACGGCAAAAGGGCACCTAGCTGGGGGACCTAGTCAGGAAACCTCAAAAAAAAAACAGAAAACCCTCACAGGACACGGACTGAGACCCCGTCGCTGCGGCCGACTCATTGCCATTGGAGTTGCTCCAAGGGTCGCGGATCGGCGGGATGGGATGCAAATTCGCCTGGCGGCACCGAGGGTAGAGGGTTCCTCTTGGTTGGGTGAGTTGGGTGTGTCTTTTTTTAGGGGAGCCTGTGGTTTCCCTTGAAAACCTGCCAAAAAGGATTCCCTTGAAAAAAACAGGCCCTTTTGGGTCTCATTTCCCTCCCTCCAACAATCATGGAACTGGAAAGGGGCCTTTCCAAAGAGGAAAGTTGGTGAGCTTCCATGATTGTTGGTTGGAGGGTAAGCTGTTCATAACCCAACATATAACGGGGCTAACTCTAGTTTTGGTGCCTAACCTGAATTATCTCACCGACAGGTTGATTCCCTTCCGCCATTTTGGTCCGACCAACTCCGCCGGCCGCGCGTCCAGCAGCGCGCGGACCTGCACCGAGGCAGCCTCGTGCAGCGCTTTTTCTTCCGCGACTCGGGGCTTATGTGTCATCCCTTTTGAGCCACAAGGTCCCCAAATGGATCATCATAACTACCTGGCACCCCGTATGGCTGTTTTTGGGTTTTCGGTCAAACATGTTCAAGGGCGTATGAAATCAATGGTCATAACTGCTATACACAAATCAGACGGTTCCACCGAACCTGTTGGGCCAACGCTCAACCCCAAATCTCGGACTCGAATATGTATTTTTGTTTAACGCACTGGCTGAGTGGATGGCCAAAAAAACACGTCCAAACAGATTGAATTTACTCTTAAACTGGTCCAACCCCAAACAGTTTTAAAGTTCAACTCAGGAAGTGAGCCAATCCTTTTAAGGGCCAAGAATTGACCCCGATGGTCCCATTGACCCTTGATCATAGCTTCTTGGTTCCTGTGGATCTTGTTTTGGCTCAGCGACTGAGAAACTTTTGCAAAAGAAGAGCTGTAATTTGTTGACCCCGGAGTAATAAACCTGGACCCTCAAAAATCCAACTTAAAAGTGGGTTTGACCCCAAATTATGGGTGGTGATATCCTATTTTTATGGGTAGTTTGAGGGTCCTGGAACCCCTGTTTATTACTATGGTGTTCCCATCCAAAGTGATACATCCCCCACTGAAACCGGGATTAATAAACATGGGGTTATTCATCCGGGGCGAAAGCAGAAAGTCCAACCAAGAATCAATGGTAAAGACATGCATAGATACGAATAACCATTTCAAGTGCGCCTTGCCCTTTTTCAAATTAGACCGGTGTACTTATTTTGATTCGAACCGTGTGCGTGGGAGCCAGGATCACACGTATGGGCTTGTCCCTCAATGGCAGAACCGGAAATAGGTAGTGCGCGGTTGTCCCTTAAACAGCCGCAAAAGGTTCCTTCAAACACGACACCTGATATGTTCTATTAAACGTGGCCCCAGCAAAGAGAGCGAGAGAGAGAGGTTCTATCAAAAGGGGCCGGGAAAAGTGATCCTGGGGTTCAGTTACCACCGTTAAAACCAGAATAGTTGGGTTCATATGTCACCACCATTGCCATTGCTTAAGCATTGTCATCAGCCGAATAGGGTCCCAAGGTCATTCTTCCATGATTTAATAGGGGCAAGGAACCCTAGGGTTACGTTCTACTTCCATTTGGTTAAGACCCCTCAAAATAGCAAACATATGTCCAGTGATACATTCCTTTTAACACCAACAAGTGAAAACAAAGCAACATATTCATTTCAGCAAATGGAAGTTTAAGGTTCACTGCCTTCTGCCCGATTTTTTTTTGGAGGTTGGGGGGCCATTCCCCATATAAACCCACTATTTGGGCTGAACTCGGTGGTGTGAGGTCGTAAAAAAAACAGATCACCCAGAAACGCAGAACACCGTGTTTCAAAGGCTATAAGAAGGGACGGTTTCACCTGGCTCCCGGACCAGTTCCTCGGTGGCCATGCCCTCCACCTGCAGCTCGAACTCGATCGCCGCTCTCGGAAGCCAAAGGAATCTTGGGGGCTGGGGGAAGAGGGAGGGGAAGGGGAGGGAGCCCAAATAAGCCCTTATTCAGCCCTTAAAAAGGCCTTAGTTAGGACATATTTGGGCTCCCTACCCCTCCCCTCCCTCCCCTCCAGCCCCCAGGAAAATCAATCTTGGGGGCCGAAACAGACCCGAAGGTTCAGTTTCCACCATTAAAACCTCCAGTAGAGAGGTTAGTATGAGGGTACCAACTGTTTTTCAGGACGTCTATTTTAGTGGGGAAACCTCCCCCAAAAAAGAAACGGTACAAGGGCACTACTGGGGCACCTAGACCATGAAAACAATGGTTGGGTTCATATTTCACCACTATGACTTACCGTTCAGGATTGTCATCTTCCAATTGGGTCACCCATTCTTTTGATGGGGGTTGAACCCTAGGGTAGAATAATGTTGCTGGTTGATGAATAGGGGGGCGTCCCCTTTTAGCGGGAATTCAGCACTTTTGGAGGGACCCCCCCCCCCCCCGCCCCCCGAATAGTAGGGTCAGCATTGCAAAATTGAGTCAGGATAGGAGTAACCTGTTAGTCATTTGGTCCCTTATGATCCCAGTGCCTGCCCCATCACGGCATCTGGTAACCAAGCGTTTCTACCTCTGGGCTCTACGTGAGAATGATAGCTTTCCCAGGTGACCTACATACTGAGAGCTGGAAGCAATGAGAACTTGGCGGAAAGTCAGAAAAAACAAAAGGAGCCCCATAAAGCACAACTTGCTTGAAGGCAAGCAATACGCATGTCTATACAAAACGGTGAACATCATTTGCTTCCCCTATTTGTAAGTTTGACTCCGTTTGACCCAAGCTTCACCAAAGCCATCCCCCGATTCGAGAATATACATCACAGATGAAACATTCGAAAGTGAGCTGACTCCAAAGGAAAGTACCCGAAAACTGGGTGGGTTCCCCTCCCCCTCCAAAAAAGACATATTCAAAATCAGGGGCCTCCTCGTTTCCTATTTCCATAAGCATCAATAGCCCCTCTATTGTCGCTTGAGGATCCAAGATTGTGGGTGTTTCTCAAAATAATGGTCCCTGGAGTGTGTGTGTGTGTTGGTTTCCAAGCAAAAGAGGTTTAACTTTCTTGGAAGATGAAGGCACCCCAACTAGATGTGTTTAGAACCCAGCTTGAAAAGAACGCTCACATGTGTTTCCTGCGAAAATTGGCATGTGTCACAACAGGGGCCCCGACAAGGACTCACATGGCCATGGGTCAAAATCCCGTACCCCCCAGTGAACATTTCAATCCCAACTAAAATCGACTAAACATGGGTGGTGCACCTACCCCAAAACGGAACCATTGGTTTTGACATGACAAAACTTGCTGGGAATTCAATCCAAAAAAAGGCTCCCCGATGTGACGAAACCCACTCCGCCGGCTTCTCGTTCAGCTGGCCTCATGGGAACCCCGAGCGCCTGCAGAGATTCACAGCTGGCCACGCGTGTCTTTTGGCGATTCAAATGGATGGCCCTGGTAAATGGAATTAAACGAATCTAAACCGTTGCCGTCTATTTCTTATCCAAACTAACCGATCAAAAGGATATAGGGCTGGTGCACTTTTGATTCAGAGCCTGAATCAGGCTCTAAGCGCCCAAGGGTCCGATCGGGGTATATGGTATGAACCCGGGACCCCCAAAATATTTGTGACTTTGAAGCCCCAAATCCATCGATCGGACCCAAGGTAGACGCATTCCGGAAGGGTCTTTGCCGACCTCGTGGCCGATACAATTGCTCAACCGAATTATTGCGCGGATTTGAGAAAACCCAGCACTATTTTCCTCAGCAAACGATGGCCCTAAACAGTAGCAGGTGCAAAGGCAGTCAGTTTGTTTCTTGTTCCAAACACTTCCAGAAAGGTACAAAAGCAACAACCGCTCGGAAGGGTTCATGCACAATCTTGACACATCCCACCTGTCTAGTGACATCAGCGAAGGAGAAGTTGTTTGCAGCCTCAACGCAAATAATGTGTGACTGCAGTTTTGAGAAATCAGAGGGGACCGAAACGACACCAACCACCTTAGAGGTGTCACAGAACCTGTGTGCCACTACTCCTTATATGGCCTATGGTCATGGCTTCCTTAACCGGAATCGATCCCTTGACAGGAATCACTATCATTGTTGACCATGGCCATTGCTACTGTCTGGCTCCCATTGTCCTGGCTTGCCCTGGCAAAGAGAGGGACCATGGCACACGATTCCGACAGGTACGGGTCAACAATCCAGTTGGCCAGCCATCAATTGATTAATGGCCCCAGGATTCGTGCCTTCCCCTTGCAAAGTTCCATTTGGAGAATTCCTGGTACCGGCCAGCCCCCCTTTGGAGTAAAAAAACTGCTTGGACAATCCTTAGGCAAACAACTGTGGCAATATGAGCCCCCATTGCCACAAATTGTGGTTTGACCCGGGGTTTTGGGATTACTTACCCACAATGTGGCCCACCTACTTTCACCCTGGCCTGCCCACAGTTCTGTGGACAGCCGGCCTTTATAAGAGGACTGTCTCAAATCCTTCTGACAGCTGGCATTGAAAAGAGGGTACTATGATAGGTTCGCTTCCGTGGATCCCCAAAAAAGTCCAACCCTGTTATTTATTGACATGGGTGTGGCTTTTGTGGGCTCCCCTGAAAACCGCCAAACATGGCTTCAGCGTGAGACAGTTCTCATCTTACCCCTAGTTGGCGGTTTGGTTTGGCGGCTTGGATGTTAAGGGGGTGGCGCCTCAAACGGAAGCGGGTTCAAATCCAAATCAACGCCACCAATCCAAACCATCAACTAAGGAATACCTGAATGCAGGTCCCCTGCCCGCGGAAAAAAAAAAAAGAAAAGACAAGCAAAACAAAAAAAAACTCTCGCCCGAACGCCTCGGTGCGCCCAGGCGTCCGCTTCAGCGAAGGATGTTGCAAACGTGGCGAGGTCCTCCACCTGCGAAACGCGAGACCCAAGGCTTTGGTTTTGGTTTCCCTTGGCCGGGGGTCCAAAAGAAGCAAGTATCCAAAATGGGTTGCTCTGGTAAACTAGGTCCTCCAGTAGAGAGGTAAGAACAAGGGTCTTTTGTCTGTAATTCTTTTATAGAAGGGGACCGACCCCTCCCCCAAGAAAGGAGTAAAAGGGCACTACTGGGGGACCTGGTAAATGTAAACAAGACTGCGTTGCTTTTCGTGGTTTGACCTTGGCCCAAGCAATTCATGCAAGCCAGTAGTTGAGGGTTTTCAGGAAATTGGCCAACTACCCAACAAAAGTAGCTGGATTTCCTGTAGAATGAGTTCCTGGAAGACAAAAATCCCAAGGGGGCCCCTTTGCAGGCTCTATGTTTGAACTTTTGGACAGGTGAACCTTAAAAAAAGTACCCGGACACTATCCATAAAAATGGGTGGGTAGTTTGGGGGTTTCGGGTAACACAATTTCAAAAGAGATCCCTGTTTCCCATGGTCGAAAGTCCGGTGAGGCATATTAGCATGGCTGTCTTCAGCAGTTGCCCAAACAAAAAAACAACCTGACAGCCCAAAGTACAAGGTTGTTTTTACCATGGCAAATGTGAAACAAGGAAGGTATGACGTGTCTTTTAAGTTGTTCAGCGTCGGGAATTGCAAGGAAGCAAGGGGCCCTCTCCGCTGACGAACTTGATGCTGCCAAGAACAGTATTTACACCTGGTGTATATGTAAGTCTTTCTTCCGGTCCTTTTTTTCCCTTCCACCAACCTAAAGGGATCCCCAATCTTAGGCAAAGCACTGAGTGATTCAAAAATTGACCCTTGCCCTTCTTGCGGCTAAGCCCGTCGCGTCGCCATAGAACCGGGGCGCCTGACGCGATTAGCGAAAATCGACGGCTATGATCCCTCCAATCCTCGGTGGCGAAATCTGCTCCGCGAAAAGTGAAGAACTTTTAGTGGTCAAATTCGGAAAACCCACTTGGCAAAAAGTTAAAGTCCTAACGAGTCCCAACATCCCTTCACCATTAATCATCTAAGCCAGCCTAAGTGATTCCTCGTTAATTGCTGTAATTCACCAACCTGCACGAAGAAATCTCTAAGGGATGGGCAAGTGCTCTCCATGCTCGCAAAGTCGCGATCTTCCGAAACGTGAGAACGAATCCGTCTCATTAAAGTCCCTTTGGGGGGCTGCCCGGAGAGATGAACAGTTGTGCCACCAAACGCGATAAAAGATTGGCATCGCCAAGAAGCAAGTGTTTTCACAAGTTCCAATCCGTGAAAATCGATTCCAATAGCTTGGTGCCCAATGTGCCGGGTGTTGCTGGTTTATATCTGGCTTGCCTTGAGACCCGTCCAAAAGCGGTTTCTCCTTAGACAACCATCCCCGTTGGTACGAAGCCATTCAAATCGGGCTCGAGTGGCGTGGTATCCTGAAGGTTCAAACCGAAGAAGAGACCTGTTGAGACTAAGCCCGGTGTGATGGCGTCTCGAAGCTGAGCGGGAGTTTCATCTTACAGCGCTGTGGCTCGAATTGCCCAATTATTCATGGGTTTGGGGGCCTGAATAAGGCCTGAATAAGGCCTTGTTGGGGCCCTCCCCTCCCTCCTCGGCCCCACGTGATCGGTGCCCTGGTTCGATGAGAGGATATTGGGCGGATGGTGTGTCGAAAGACCGCTTCTGGCCGGTATTCAGGTGAGTCATAATCAAAACCAGTGATTCAAATAGCCTTAAGAACATCCAAGAACCATGAAAAGAACGAAAAAGGCGCCTCCCCCCATTTATCGATGGAATTCTCCCTCACTAACCTTTATCTACCCAGGTTGTGAGCAAGTGGCTCTGCTATGGCGTCCAAATACCAATCGGTTGGGTTTTGGCTGGGTCCAGTCCTATCGGTGTCGATGGTTGCGAACTCCGAAATCCGCCTCTCGCACCTCCCAAGTCAGAAACCCCCCAACGTAAATACCCCGAAACAAGGCTGGAATTAGGACAGCAAAAAATATAGTTAGCAAAAAACAAAGGGACCACCCACCCCCCCCCCCCAAAAAAGGCGGAGCTAATTCTGGGGTAGAACCATGGTTTCAATCTGGTGCGAAGGGATTTCGTCCAGTTCATCCATGCCATGGACGAGTGACACTCATGTTGGTGGCTTCCCAATTCACGGGATCCACAGCCCGAAAGCGACACAGCGCAAATTCATGGGGTCCGCCGAAGAAACTCTCTAAGATACCAGCGACCAAAGATTCTACAGGAAATCCTTGTTCCTGGACCCTCAAACTACCCATAAAAATGGGATATCACCATAATTTTGGGGGTCAAACCCATTTTTAAGGGATGTTTGAGGGTTCAGGTACAGGAAATCCGTGTTTTTGTATTTGGCCCAGGACCAGCAGAATCCTTGCGGGTTCGATAAAACCGAAAAGAAACGAAGACACTGGAGCAAAACTGGACAAATATAAAGAAACACAACACAACACAAGCAACAAACAACGAAGAAGCTCGCAGAAACTCGGAAAGTAAAAAAAAAAAAAAGCGTGCGTGCAAACCAAACGGCTCTGCGGAAAAACACCCGGCGTTGGTGAAGACCCAGTGCAGGAAGATCTGCGGGTCCGTGTTGGACTGCGCCACCACCTCCTGGCCGAGCGGAAGGTGAAGAAGCGACCAACGTAAAATCTGAAAAAAACAATAGAGAGCGGCCCGCCATGGGGCCTGTGTTGTAAAATCCAATGTGTTTTACACCTTGGCATAGATGGATGCATCTCAAACAGTAGCCCTTAAAATGTGAGAAGGAAACTACCTGAACCCTCAAAAATCCTTAAAAGTGGGTTTGACCCCCAAAATTATGGTTGGTGATATCCAATTTTTATGGGTAGTTTAAGGGTCCAGGTATATCCCTAGGAAACTTCAAGAAGCCCTTCACACATGGGCCCCAACCCAAATGGACACAAGTCGAGGTGGGGCCAGCGACATACCAAGTCGTACATGATTCGAGTCAGGCAAGTTCATCTTGGTTGCTGTTAACCCTCCTGCAAAAAGTTTAACCTTTTGGGGGTTAAGTGGAAAGCACCTTTATTTCCCAAAAAGTTAAAGTCTAAAGATCCAACCCAATAGCAGTCAAGTCATATCCTTGCTTCACCTCGGTCACCATGACCAAAACCTGGTAAGAGCCCTGTTGATTAACTAACAAACAGGCGGCTCGAGCTCTTTATTGACCATAATAAGTGAACCAATCCCATCAAACCAGATATGGCTGTGGGTCAAACATAGGGAAATCCCAAAACGGGTTACCCTGCCAAATGGAAACATGGACTAAACAATATGCGGTCCATATCCTGACCCTGGTTTTCTGGGCTGTCCTCAGATCCCCTGCTAAAAGTTTAGCTTTTAGTGGGTTAAACGAAAATCCCCACTAAACACTATAAAGCTACAAAGCTAAGGAACCGGATGGCTGGGAGCCACCAAGTTCAGTTTTGAGCCACGTAGACCCGCGGCAACCTGGCTACCTCACATCCAGAGGCGGTGAGCCTCCGGCACGTAGTAGAGACCAGGCCGCCGCGCCTGCGAAAACCGAGAAACAAAAAAAAAAAACTCCACCGAGGCCGAGACCCGGATACCGGGGCGAAATCCGCTGGACTTCGGGCGCTAAGTTCGGGGTCTGGAAAAACGATACTCAGTTCCTGGACCCTCAAACTACCCAAACAATTAAGTTTGACCCCCAAAATTATGGTTGGTGATATCCCATTTTTAAGGGAATTTTGAGGGTTCAGGTTCAACTCACTCATACCTGGAGTCTCCATCACCCTTTGAAAGGGCCCATCACGCCTTGTTATTTGGCATAATGACCCATGCTTTAAGCGTCATGGAGACTCTGAAGTCTTGGGCTTTTGATGTATTTCCCCCTCCCCCCCCCCCCCCCGCCGCGAGACAAAAGCAACACTAAAAACAACCAAACACGATTTACGATTCGCGGACGGATCAAAACGATCAATGCTTCGGGGCTCCGGGGGTTCATCGATTTACGGACTGGGAAGCCAACACGAGGAAACAAAAGGACTACCATCGATTGATTTGTTTGTCACATACGTCTCGGGTTGAACCCCCATCAAGCGAATCGTATTTACCTAATTGGATGATGACAGTCCTGAAGGGTAAACCATGGTGAGTTATATGAACCCAGCCATTATATACACATATACAGATATATATATATATAATATTATATAATATTATATTATACCCTGTGTCTTCATTTGAGCAAACAACGTTGTTTTTGGCTGGTTTTGGTAAAGGTTCTGGGCGTATATAGCCTTGACATCAACCTGTCAAGCTCTTCAAGAAGAACTAGGACAAGGATAAATGGGTGCCTTGTCGACCAGAACACGCCTGAACAATCCAAAGAAACTACGTGCGTTGTGTCTGCCTGTTGGGCGTTGTCTGGCTTAGCCTTGCATCTTGGCAAGCCAGCTTGATGGACAAGAGAAACAAGCTTAACTTTGAGATTCCAAGAAATCCGAACACCGCTTCCAGGCTGAAAGGGATCGGCGCAGCTGACTACACCTGGCTCAAAATAGAGCTTTTGGTTGGCAATTCGGGCGCTTCGGGACATCTTCTGCCTAAAAAGGTCTGAAACGCGCACACGCAAGTGCACACTTTTCGTATTTGCGCGCAATTGCGGACATTTGCACAATAGTACCGGAAATTTGCGCGCGAATTGCGGGTTGGCAGGGCGCCCCAAACACGACTACATTTCACCCTGCCAGCGACTCGTCTTTACAAAAAGTGTGGCGCAGGCACGGTCCTGGAGCAAATAATTAGCGGATCCGTGCAAACCCAGGAAATGCTTGCGGGCTTGGACCTACTCATGGAGGTTGAAGCCAGCCAAGCGAGTTGCAAAATCAATGGCGACAAAGTGTCAAGTCCAGGTAATAGGTGGTACTTTCGCCGGGTGCCATATATGTGCAACAGAATGCATGCCTAAACAATGCCTGGGTTGAGACAAAAGAAGAGCTATAATAGTTAAAATGTAGCCGTAAGAGACTTCAACAAACAGCTGCGCCGGCACGGGAATGAGTAGCGCGGTATCGATTGTTTCCACAAGCAGTGCCGAATTCGACTGCCTGAGTCGTTTTATCCCAAAAGCGCGCCAATCCTCGAAAAATGCGCAAATTCCAAACAAGCACGCAAACACACCATTAAAACAAAAAAGCATTTCAGCAGAAACAAATGCTCCAACAAAGATACAGGACATAAATATTATATATATACATATATATATATATATATGTCTGAAGCCCCGAGCTACCAAAAAAAGGACTCTGGACATCTCCCGAATTCCTCGCGGATTCCTGGCGGATTCCTCGCGATCCGCGCCTTTGGAACCAGCAGCTCATGGGGCAGCTGCTCCGGCGTGCCTATCGCCGAAACGTTTTTGGCGAGGCGAAGGTCTCGGCTGAGATTTGGCGTTCGCCGAGTGCCACGTGAAAAGTCCATGCCCTAGCCCAAGAGTTCAAAAAAGCGAGGCCATTGGGGGTCTAATGGTCTAAGGCCCTCATACTGTGGATGGACTTAATCCTGCACCACTTGGAAATCATGGCTGAAACCATAACGTTTGTTGGTATTTACCTTGGGGAATCGAATCATATTCCATGGCTTCTGAACGGTGGTGCGGTTTATGGATTTCGCAACCATCCACAGTATTGAGCGTCTTGGGCTAGGGATGGCACCAAAAAACATCAAGAAACCATCGGAGCCGGATCTCCGGCAAACCCTCAGCTGCCCCAACGAGCCGATTTCGCAGAGACCCAGAGCTCTCAGCTGTGAAACACGGGGCTTGAGGTTGTGAAAGGTGTTTAGCCGCTGAAACAGGATATATATATATATATACACATATGTATATATAACACATATATATATATATATACAAAACACATATATATATATATATATATATATATACACGCGCGAAATCAGCTGCAAAGCCTACAGAAGGTCATAGTTCTCCCGCACTCGGCCTCCCGAAATGGGCCGTTGCCGTGTGGGTCACCAAGCAGAACTCGGGGAGAAATGGATCCCGGGATCCGGATGCACTTGGGACCAAGACTTGGTGCACAAAATGCAAACTTGGGACAAGACTTGGGACAAGACTTGGGACAAGACTTGGGACACAACTTGGTACAAAAATACACCGACAGCTTGTAAATGGTGGTTCCCCTTTGTTTTCGTGTTGAAAAAGCAACATGGTTCAAGTGGTAAGGCAAAAGAGATCTTTGAAGGAGCCCTGATGTAGAAACCAGGGTTCACCAGAAGGGGGGGAGAGGGGGGGGGGGGTAGAGGAGGGAAAGAGGGGGGGAAGTGAGTCATAATCAAAACCCGGTGTCAAAATGGTCTACCCAGAACCATGCTTCAAGAATTAGAAAGGCGAGCAAATTCGAACAGGTCCTTCACAAATTCGAACATGTTGATATGTCTTGACATATTATGGGGTTACTCAGAAGGTCCTTTACATGGGATGACCATGAGGGACACCACCAAAAAAGATGATATGTCACACTAAACGGGAAAGGATACCAATGAACATTTAGGGGCCAGGAATATTGATCGACCCCTCTCACCAATTTTGACATGGAAGTGCACCCCTTCCAAGGGGAAAGTAGTCTTTCTGCAGGAGTCTGTGTTAGTCGGTGGGAGGGTAACAGTGTTGGACATGTTGTTCCTTTCGGTGTCCCGTACCAATCTGATGAAGGGCAGCCATGTTTTACTTCAGGTGGAACATTGTCCCTTGGTAGCATCTGTCCTCAGAAGGAAAGGACGACCTGACCAGAGCGCCCAAAATGCCCGCTTGACAACAGTGAAATCCTTGATCCCCACTCAGACGGGAAGAAGCCGTGCTAATATGGCGAAAAAAAATGCCACCAATGGGGTGCGCCGAACCAGACAACACACTCTTTTTCCACCCATCTCTGTCATGGTAGCAGCGACGAATTCCGGGCGTCCCACACGTGCCATAGGAATCTGTCGATTCCCTGAAGGACTAGCAAACAACGTTTTTTACCAATGGCACAAGTGGAAGCTGCGATGGGTGCCTGTGTCAGAATGGTCTGGGGAACCTGTTGATTTTCTCATCCGCTCTCAAGGTTCCAGAAACCACATACCTCGCTAGGCAAAACATGGTATATGTTTGCCATCTCAAAACTATGCGGAACAAAAAAAAACAGTACCCAGCCCAGTTCCCTTTGTTCCACAACCAACAACATGTCATCCAGAGAGGCCAACAAGGTGCAATAACTTGAGATCATTCTGCCACTATTTCGAAACCTGAAGTAAGGGATCCCCAAAAGACTCATGCAGTGGTCACTGGATTTCCCCTCCAAAAGTTACAAATTGCAGGTGGTTTCCATAGGTTCCCCAAAAAAGGAAATGTCATGGTCGATCATTTATTGTTGGCTTTTTCGCATAACAAAAGCAACGTAAAGTTGTTAAATCAAAAAAACAACCTGGACCCTCAAACTACCCATAAAAATGGGATATCACCAACCATAACTTTTGGGGGTCAAACCCATTTTTCAGTTGGAATTTTGAGGGTTCAGGTACTAGTGAGCTCATAGATCGCCAGAAGCCGAGCTCTTCGAAACTCATGGATTCGGTTCCAGTTCCAGCCTTCAAGCGCCGCGAAGCTCCGATGGGACTCTTTGGGTGTGTCGATCCGTTTTTCCAGGCGGACCCCCAAAATGGCTTTAGGTCTCCGTTTAAAACCACGAAAATGAGGTACCGACTCGCAAAAACATTGGAAAATACACCCCTTTTGGGGAAGGAAGCGAAAACCAAAACCGCACGGTCACAAACCAACTTCAGCCATTTCCATCTCTTGCTTCGGGTGGATGTGATGTGTTTGTGCTAACTAGTGACTTGGCAATGATGTCAGAGTGAGGCCAACAAATTGCTCAACACAATGGCAGAAATGGCTAGACATATCTTTCAACGGAGGATGTTGCGTGTTGCTTTTGTGGGTGTCTGTGGGGAACCCACAAATTGTTTGTCTTCCTATTGGATTCCCTTTGGCTTCCCTTTAAAGCAACTCCAAAAAGGCGTATCGTCAAAAACTGAGTGGTCAACCAGTGGTCAGATCAAACCTATGCAATCGCTTTCCTCAGATGTGTCACTACCCTCCCTCCCACTAACCTAGCACCTGTGGGAGGGTACCTGGAAGATAATTTTCCTCTTGTAGGGACCAACTCTGCAGGTGTGAGGGTAACTGTTCAAGAGCATTTTGGGGAACTCCTCAGCCTCTTACAACCATCAGCGCGGCAACCGCTTCTTGAGAAGTCCGCTGGAACAAGCACGCAAAGAAGCATGGCCAGAAGGCCGCGGCGAGTTTTTTGTTGTGCCCAAAGGCTGCTTTTGCAACAAGCTCGACATATGCTCCGTGATTGGAATCTGAGAGCCTAGCAACTAACAGCTAGGTCTTCATAGGCTCCTAGGTCCTCCAGTAGAGAGGATAGTATTTAAGGGTGCCCGATTTTTTTTCTGTAGTCTATTGTAGTAGGGTCCCGAACCCTCCCCCCAAAAACAAAGGGGTAAAAGGGCACGATCCTGGGGGACCTAGGCTCATACATTCAGCCTTTGTGATTTGCTCGTGTTAACGGAGCTGCCCTCTTCGTTCCGCTTGGCGAAAAAAACCTGGTGGCTGACAGGCAAGGACACCAAGAAAACGGACGAAAACTGGGCCCGATTTCAGATCCCCTGCTAAAAGTGGCCAACTTTTAGTGGGTTGATGAAAACTACCACTAAACACTAAAAGGCTAAAAGGCTAAGGAACCGGATGGCTGGGAGCCAGCAAGAAAAGGAGAAGCAATCGTTTGTAAAGGGTGCCTCAGTGCCCTTTTTCCTGCAAAAGAAATTGAAACCAGGTCACTACTAAAATAGGGGTCACTGAGTTTTCCCTTCAAGAGCTGCAACTAGCTTTTGGCTTCGGTTGAAACCACCACTTGAGGTCTCAGGCAGGGACATTGAGGAACCCCCTGTAAGGGACCCTCCTCCCGGACGGTCATACTGCGGAGTCTAATTTGGCGAGGAGGTTGCCATTCAACACGGGGCACCTGAAAAATGTGTGTTCTAAAAAACACCCAATCTCAATTGCAATCCGAGAGGGGCCTCCAACATGGAAGATGAGTTTCCAGGGTAAGCTGAGCCTGAAATTTGCAGCATTGTTTCCAGTTTGATCTTGGCACCTCCTCAATTCACATCGCAAAAACAAGCGCTCGCAGCTTGCATCTTATGCTGCAGTCAAGCAACATAAGGTTCACACACACACACAAACCTTGAAACCCAAGACAAACAATGATCAAACCGGCATCGGTTTGTTCGGGCTGGGAACAGTCTTGTGAAGCTTGCATTTCTGTGTAGCCAAGCGGGCAAAAAAGGACCCCCTTGCCAGGTGCAAGCTGGAAACTCTTGCTCGGCAGTTTCTGCTCTGAGAGGCTTGCATCCAAATTGGATGAAGGCGTGAAGGGGGGGGGGGGGGCGTCTCTGCCCGCAAGTGAGCACGTCCGGAGCGCCCGTGCAACGCCATGGTTTGACTTTGGCACATAATCATACAGTAGGTATGTCCCATTCTGAGGCTGCCTTGTTAGGGTTGCTTAAAAGGCCAAACCTCCAGTGGCCAGGGAAAAAACATGAACAAAGGCCACCCGTTTGCTGCTTGATTACATTCATCTATATATATGTAAATATTTGTTTTTGTTTAAGCCCAGATACAGTATCGGGACCCAGCCCCTGGAACCCCCCTGGAACCGAGTCTCATTTTGAACCCCAAGCTGCCCCACACCACCGGAACGAGCCAATCTGTGCCTGTTGACCATGATTTCCCCATACACAAGTCAATATCTATGTATATAACAACATATGTATATCTATATTATATGTTTTATATATATTTTATATCATATATCTACATATATATATATATATCATGTTTTTTTTGTTTTAAGACCGCAAAGCTTTCGGCTGGGCAAAACGTGACAACAAAGATGGGCTGAACAAGTTACTTCGTCGATGAGGCTCTCAATGTAATTTTGGTTGCCGGCGAGACCCCTCTGCATAAAGTGTTTCAATATACATTTTGCCGCCGAGACCCATCTTTGTTTGGGTCCGGAAAATATCTCAAGTTTCACCCAAAAGGATATTCAGTCCAAAGATCCGTTACCAAAATCGCCAAAAAGGTAACAGTGCTCCATTCGCAAAACAAAGCCTCAAAGTCACCGGGGACGCAGCTGCACTCTGCGCTGGACTTTCCTTTTAAGAACTCGTTCAAATTCTTGGACGAGCTCAGGTGGTGGTACTGGTAGAGGTGTTGTTGGTGCCTTGCTAGGCGGCGGAGCGGTGGATGTTTCACTTCTTCTTTGAACAAAAGGAA